CACCATTATTAGAGGCTCTCCTCATATGTCGTGGCTTCCCAAGCTGAGCCTGAAATCTGCTTCCCAGTACACAGAGATAGCTGAGTGGACAGAGATAGCTGAGCGGACAGAGATAGCTGAGCAGACAGAGATAGCTGAGCGGACAGAGATAGCTGTAAAAGACTGATTAGCACCAAACGGTACCTTTCACCTTGAGGTAATCAGAAGGTGTGGAAGAAGATTAAGAAGCATCTGCCTCTCTTTGGGGCTCGGTATTCTTTAATAACCTATTCTCTACAGTCTTCTCCTCTTTGTTCTGTCTATTGCTCTTTCCTCTTTGTCTGGGGCTTATTCTGTGGTTCTCCGACTTCTTGAGTTGATATGTATCTCATTGACACGCGTTTTCTTTTTCTCTTTACTATCAGTTCTGAGACCCGTGACTTCCCCACCACGTATCACATTCAAAAACACCTCATAAGCTTCAATATGTAGCATTTTAATTATCTCTCACATCTTTGTATATTTAAATGTCCCTTATAGTTTCTTATTTAAGCCCAACATTGACTTACAAGTATGTTTTCAATTGTCTGAATGTTTGGAGACTTTTTTTTCTTAATAACTCCACTGCATCATGCTCATATGCTTTGATCTCTCTTGGGTAAATACCTCAGCGTGGAATGTCTTAGCCAAGGAATTGTTGTATATTTAACTTTAAAAAAAAATCATTTTATTGGGGGCTTGTACAACTCTTATCACAATCCATCCATCCATTGGGTCAGGCACATTTGTACATTTGTGACCTCATCATTCTCAAAACATTTGCTTGCATATTTAACTTTTTAAGGGACTGCCAACCTGGTTTCTGAAAGTCACGATGCCATCTTCCGTCTCATCCCAAAGTGGATGAGAGTTCAGTTTCTCTACATCCTCACCAACAGTCACATCGGTCCTTTTCACAGACCTTGGCTCCAAACCAAGCACCCAACATCAGGCCAACAGCTCCATCCTGACTCACAGCAGCCCTGTAGGTCCGAGGAGAACTGCCCGCTGCAACTCGGCGAGAGTAGACAGCCTCATCTTTCTCCCGTAGAGCAGCTGGCTATTGCAAACCAGCCCCACGCACAGCACACTACACCACCAGGGATTCTCCCAACCCAGTCCAGTGGGATTAGTGTGGGGGCAGCAGCGTTTCATTACGGTTTTAATTTATAGTTCCCCGGTGACAGGTGGTATTGATACGCCTCTCATAAGACTATTTGCCATTCACATAATCTCTTGGGCCAAGGGTCTGTCCATAGCTTTTGCCTGTTTTTAAATGAAATCATTTCCCTGGTTCTGCCTGAGTGTTAAACATTTGTGACGTAGTACAGATACCAATCCTTGTTGGATAACCATTTTGAAAATATTT